TCTTCTCAGCTCCACATGGGACCTTCTCTGAAATTGACAACATATTTGGCAACATAGCAAATCTCAACAGGTGCAAAACAAATTAGAATAACCCTCTGTATCTTATCAGACCACCATTCTTTAAAGTTAGAATTCAACAATAACACATACTGAAGAAATGCTACAAACTCATGGAAATTAAACAATGCACAATTGCACCACTCCGGGGTCAAGGAAAAATAAAGAAAGGAATTAAAGACTTCCTAGAATTCAATGAAAATGAAGACACAACATACCCAAACTTATGGGACACTTTGAAAGCAGTACTAAGAGGAAAGTTCATGGCACTAAGTGCCCAAAAGAAGAAACTATAAAACAGTCACACTAGAGAATTAACAGCAAAACTGAAAGTTCTAGAACAAACAGAAGCAAACTTACCCTGAGGAGAAGACACCAAGAAATATTCAAACTGAGGACTGAAATCAATAAAGTCAAATCAAAGAAAGCAATACAAAGAATCAATGTAACAAAGAGTTGGTTTTTTGAGAAAATCAACAAGAGACACAAACCTCTATCCAAGTTAACTAAAAGGCAGAGAGACAACATGGAAATTAACAAAATCAGGAATGAAAAGGGGGACATTACAATGAACACTGAGAAAATCCAGAGAATCTTCAGGTCATACTTTGAAAATCTGTACTCCACAAAATTTGAAAATTTAAAGGAAATGGACAATTTTCTGGACAGATATCACTTACCAAAATTAAATCAAGAGCAGATAAGCAATTTAAACATACCTATAACCCCTAATGAAATAAAAGCAGTCATTAGTCTCCCAACCGAAAAATGCCCAGGCCCAGATGGCTTCAGTGCAGGATTCTATCCGAAATTCAAAGAACAACTAATACTAATACTCCTCAAAGTGTTCCACACAATAGAAGAAGGTTCATTGCCAAACTCTTTTTACAAGGCTACAATTACCTTGCTACCCAAGCCAAAGAAAGACACAGCTAAGAAAGAGAGCTACAGACCAATCTCCCTCGTGAACACTGATGCAAGACTATTCAATAAAACACTGGCAAATCAAATCCAAGTACACTTCAGAGAAATCATCCACTATGATGAAGTAGACTTCATCCCAGGGATTCAGGAATGGTACAACATATGAAAATCTATCAATGTAATCCACCATATAAACGAACTGCTAAAGAAAAACTACATGAAAATCTCACTAGATATTGAAAACTTATACAATGCAAAAAAAACATCTTCAACAAATGGTGCTGGCATAAATCCAGCCACTCTGAACCTCTTCAATGAATTGATACAGGGGGTAGCTTTCTGAACATAACACCAGTAGCATAGACACTGAGATCAACAATTAATAAATGGAACCTCCTGAAACTGAGAAACTTCTTTCTGTAAGGCAAAGGACACAGTCAACAAGACAAAAAGGCAACCCACAGATTGGGAAAAGCTATTCACTAACCCCACATCTGACAAAATTTACAAAGAACTCAAGAAGCAAGTCTCCAAAACACCAAAGGATCCATTTAAAAAGTGGGGTACAGGGCTAAATAGAGAATTCTCAATAGAGGAATCTAAAATGGCTGAGAGACACTTAAGTGTCTTAAGGATTTAGCCATTAGGGAAATGCAAATCAAAACAACTCTGAGATACCATCTTACTCCTGTCAAAACACCAAGGATAACTTATACTGGAGAGGGTGTGGAGAAAGGGAAACACTCCTCATCTGCTGGTGTGTGTGCCAACTTGTACAGTCACTATGGAAATCAGTATGGAGATTCCTCAGGAAAATGGGAATCAGTCTACCACAAGACCCAGAAATTCCACTCTTAGGCATGTGCCCAAAAGATGCACATTCACATAACAAGGACGTCTGTTCAAGTATGTTCATAGCAGCATTATTTGTAATAGCCAGAACCTGAAAGCTACCTAGATACTCTTCAATTGAAGAGTGGATAGAGAAAATGTGGTACTTACATAATGGAGTACTACTCAGTGAAAAAAAATGGAATCTTGAAATTCGCAGGCAAATGGATGGCACTAGAAGAAACCATCCTGAGTGAGGTAACCCATTCACAAAAAGACAGACATGGTATGTATTCACTCATATGTGGATTTTAAGACATGGAGCATGGGATTGCCCACCTACAATCCCACTGCCAGAGAGTTTGGGAAACCAGGAGAACCCTAAGGGAGATATGCATGGTACTTTGTAGAAGGGGAATGGGACAGGATCTCCTGAGCAGATTGGGAGCATGTGGGGAGGGGAGAGGTAGCTGGGAAAAAGAGGAGAGGATGACATGGGGGAGCACGAAGGTTGAGTCAGGGGAAGAATAGAAGAGAGAAGTATGAGAGATACTATAATAGAGGGAGTCATTATAGGTTTGAGGAGAGATCTGGCACTAGTGAGATTTCCAGAGATCTACAAGGATGACACCAACTGATAATCTACGCAATAGTGGAGAGGCTACCCTAAATGCCCTTCCCAGACAATGAGATTGACGTTTACCTTATATGCCATCCTAGAGCTTTCATCCAGTGGTTGATGGAAGCAGAAGCAGACACCCACAGCTAAACACTGAACTGAACTCCTGGAACCCAGTTTCAGAGAGGGAAGACCGATGAGCAAAGGGGTCAAGACTGGACTGGTGAAACCCACAGAAATAGCTGACCTGAACAAGGGGGAGTTCATGGACCCCAGACTGATGGCTGAGAGGCCAGCATGAGACTGATCCAGACCCCCTAAATTTGGGTGTCAGTGAGGATGCCTCAGCAATCAATGGGGCCCCAGATAGTAGATCAGTATTTATCCCTGGGATATGAATGGACTTTGGGAGCTCATTCCACATGGAGGAATTCTCTCTCAGCCTGGACACGTGGTGGAGGGCCTAGGCCCTGCCATGGATGATATGACAGACTTTGGAGATTCCCCCATGGAGGGCCTCACCCTCCATGGGGAGCAGAATGGGGATTGGGTGGAGGGTTGGGGGCTGGGGGGGTCATGGGAGGAGGTGAGGGAGAGGGATCTTGGATTGACATGTGAAGCAAGCTTATTTCTAATTGAAATAAAAAAGATTGCCTTTCAAGATAAATAATAAAGTTGTTGGCCTTTTCAATAAAGTAATTGGCCCTTTCTTTGTCACTGCAAAATGTCAGTAAAGGACCTGACAAGAATAGCTTCCTTGCCCACATGGTTAATCTACACTACATTGCTTGGGTATGAATGTAAATGGGTTCTTCGGAGCTTTTCACTTGTAGTATATGAAATGTTTAATCATGTAAGGGATATGGAAAACATGCTGTTTTATTGTTTATTTTGTATTTATTGTAATCATTCACTTGGGAAACAGAATGTAACCACATTTTAATTCCTATACTGCCTGGAAACCTTTATTGGAATATATAAGCTGTAGTTACACCAACTCCACGCATTCTTCTCAAAGCCCTGTGCAGGTGGACGATGGCCCCCCAAAACAACAGTAGATGACACCAACGGACATGCTAACATAGAAGGAAATCTCACTGGGTTTCAACCATAAACAAAGAACTGCAGGCAACCAAGGAATTCTGAGAATAGGAGAAATAATCTTCCCTTAGGAAGAGCTCACCAATTGTTTATCCAAAACCGAATGGTCAGCCCTGAAAACAAAAATGCAAGTAACATTTATATAGACTAATTAGGCTGTATTTATGTATTTAGAATAGACACACACCACATAGTGTGTGTGTGTGTGTGTGTGTGTGTGTGTGTGTGTGTGTGTGTAACAGAAGCCATACATTTAAGAGAGAATCAGACATGGTGCTTCCTAGGATGGTTTGAATGAAGGAAATGGAAAGGGGAAAATAATTTTTTAATGATTTTTAAGTGATTAGGCATTGTTATGTAGGAGTTCAATTGCTTTTTCCCAACCCTCTGCCAACCTGCCGTTGGCATTGGACCCACAATAACTCTACTCCAGGTACTGATGTACTGTCAAGAAGAACTTTTTCTGTTTTCACAATTTTTATTTATATACCCAGAAGAAACTCAGCCTTTGGGTCAAGGAGTCATATTTATATTCTCTCCCCCCCACACACACACACTTTATCACTACAATAGTCAAGATGAGGGAAGCATTTGTCAGGTTCTGAGCACTTATGAGCCACTGGCTAGTTATGATTGAATTTAATACAATTTACTTAAATTCATTTATTCAGTTACTTAGAACTCATGACATTTGTTTATTCCTTCATATATTCATTCATTTACCATGATTTTGCTATTTTCTCAGGGTTTTGAATTCTGTTTGTATTATATTACTACACAGCTTCCAGGGTAAACACCTTAATAGAAACTCTCAGTTCCAGGATAAGAAAATATAATATTTTATCTATTTGTTGCTGTCATTGTTTTCATATTCCATAGCTAGTATTTATTCATTCACTCATTTAATCAGCAAATACTAATGGAACACCAACAAAATGCCAAGTAATGTTCTAGATACTTGGGACACATCAGAGAATAAAACTATGAACACTACCTCTTTATTTCCTCTTTTTGTTTGTTTGTTTGTTTGTTTTGGTTTTTCGAGACAGGGCTTCTCTGTATTGTTTTGGAGGCTGTCCAGGAACTCACTCTGTAGACTAGGCTGGCCTCAAACTCACAGAGATCCACCTGCCTATGCCTCTTGAGTGCTGGGATTAAAGGTGTGTTCCACCAACACTCAGCCATATCTCCTCTTTCTTTATTTCCTTCCTCAAACTTCCCAGACTGATCTGGGGTTCCGAAGAAGTTCACTTTCTCCAGATTTGCCAATGTGCCTCACGGCCACCTGTAGCACTGGAATATCCATCTTACCCCCTTCCAGATATCTTCACTCTTTTTCTATTAACATAAAGATGAGGAAATGGAAGTTCCAATAAGGTCACTGTTAGACAAGGTAGAGACTGAGTGCGTGCGATCTGAAGTGTCCCCCAGCTTCCCATTTCTAGTGTCCCTGTTTTGCCTAAGTTTTCTATTTTTCTTCCCAAGTCATCTTCCTCCCTACAAGTCTCCTCATGGCATTTTTCACCTCAGTGTTTCTGAAAGAGTAAATAATGGGGTTCAAGAGAGGTGTGACAACTGTATAAAACACAGCCACGATCTTGTCCACAGGGAGGGTGATGCAGGGTCTCATGTAGACAAAAGAACAGGGTATGAAAAACAGCCCCACCACAACAAGGTGAGAGGCACAGGTAGAGAGGGCCCTGCGCCGTCCTTCTGCTGTGTGGCTCCTCAGGGAATGTAGGATGACCACATAAGAAACCAGCAGCACCGCAAAGCTGATCACTGAGATGGAGCCACCGTTGATGATGACTAGTAGGCTAATGAGGAAGGTGTCTGAGCAAGCCAACTTCAATACTGGGTGGACATCACAGAAGTAGTGGTCAATGATGTTGGGACCACAAAAGGGCAGCTGGAAAATGAGGAATGCTTGCCCAGCAGAATGCAGCAAGCCCCCACTCCATGCTGCCCCTACCAGGAAGCCACACACTTTCCGATTCATGATGGTGACATAGTGCAAGGGCTTACAGATAGCCACATAGCGGTCATAGGCCATCACTGTCAAAAGAAAGATTTCAGTGCCACCAAAGAAGTGGAGGAAAAATATCTGTGTGATGCATCCCTGGAGGGAAATTGCTTTCCTCTTGAGCAAAGAGTCAAAGATGAGCTTAGGGGCTGTGACAGAACAGTAACATAGTTCTACCAACGACAAGTAGCTGAGGAAGAAATACATAGGGGAAGAGAGCCCTTTGCTGGCCATAACAGTCACCACAATCAGGCCATTGCCCAGTACAATGGCTATGTACATCAAGAGAAACATCGCAAAAATGACCTTCTGTACATGCTGGCTCTGGGAAAATCCCAAGAAAATTATTTCTGTTATGTTGCTTGTAGCTTTCATGTTTTAAAGTGTAGTTTCTGGGAACCTAGAATCACAGAAGCCAGAATCAGAACTCCATTAGAAATGAGAGGCATCTTCTTCAGGTTCTGGGGTCTGGTATTACCTCCCGCTCCTTTCTCTTCCCCTCCCTCCCTCTCTCCATGTTTTGATTTGGGTTTCCCCAAAGCAAGGATTCCATGGCACAAGTGACTAAAGCAGAAATTATCTAATGGTGGATATTAATCTCAGGCTGCAATTTGACTTGGTAGTGCTATAAATACATAGGAATTACCTGACTATCCTCAAAAATGTCAGAAAGCTGTATATGATGCAGCCCAGAGGGAAATGAGACAATATTTTATAAATAAGAAAGATAACACTTAGGTTCACCCATGTACTTAAGATCACAAATACCATACTTAGACAATTGTTTGTATTCTTCAAGCATCTGCCCTAAATCTGAGACTCATAGTGACTTAACTGATCACATAGTCCCCCCCTACACCAGGAATGGATCAACATTCTAGAAGGAGTGATAGAATTTCTCAACTCTAATTGTTCTTCAATTGATAAAACTTACCAGGCTCCTGACCTTGTACATGCTAAAATCAGATTATCAAGTATTAAAAATAGTTGGTTATACTTTTATTTACCTTATCACACTACTCATGGCATCTGTGAGGGGGTGTTGCTTAAAGTACTTTTGCAGTGGAGGCATGTATAACACTATCTTTAGAATGTTCAGTGTTCCAGGATCCTGATACAAGAATCATCCACCCAACACATGCACAGAAGTGGTGGGTACACATGCATGTATGTGGAAACCAGAGGTAACTCTCAGGTAAAATTCCTCAGAAGTGCCATACACATTATGTTTTTTGAGACAGTGTCTCTCACTGGCTCATGGGGCTTGTAAATTCTGGTAGGCTGGCTGGATAGCCTGCAAACCTGAGATATCCACCTGTCTCTGCCTCCTCAGCACTGAGATTATAAATAAGCATCATCACATCTTGCTTTTCACTTGGTTGCTGGGAATCAAATTCAGGTCCTCAGTTTTTCATGGCAAGCACTTTACCAACTGACATATCTTTTCAGCTATGATTTGATTTGAGTTGGGTTGGATTGGGTTGGCTTGGCTTAAATTGGGTTTAGTTTAAGATTATTGATATTTAAAGTATCCTTACAATGTAATCATCTTAAAAACTAAAAATTAAATGTATTTAGGTGGAACAACAATAAAGGAACCAACATCTTCTCAGTGGAAATGAAAAAGCGTTTGAGAGAATGTCATAAAGGGGTTATCAGACAAGTTAAACAAGGACAACAACAATGACATTTCATCTATGGGGCATAAATTATTTTAATTCTAAATTCTTAATTATTGGAGACAGACTAAAAGACTGAAAGATAAGTACACATTCTTATCAGGCAGAAAGCTAACTGACTGTCTCTAGGATTTGAAGTTAATAAAACTCTAAATAGAAATGAACATAGAAGCTTAAATTAAACTGACCCAATAAACAATTTCCTTGAGAACCTTTCAGATCATTCCAACGAATCCAGAACCTACTCTGTGATTTCCTGTATGATACTTCCTGCCTTAGAATCCCATATACCATGCTGTTCTAAAAGATGTAACTGGCCCAGTTGTTCTTCCTCTCCCACATTTTCTCCAAAGAGATAGCATGGGGATGGAAGAGATCAACCAGGCACAGGAGCTTCTTTATTCATTTCCTTTCATTCAATAATCATAGCTGTTCATTTTGGAAGGAAGTTCATGGGATTCTCATCCTTCTGAGGAAGACTCTGGGGCCTGGATGGCATGGAGTTGGGATGAGAACCAAGTTTCACAGCTTCTGATCAACAGTGTCTCATCTACCCCCTCCTCCTCTGGGGCTGACCCAAATCTGTCTCCATTCAGGAGGCAGACCAGAATTACAAATTATGGGCTCCATCCAATTCCAGTGGACCACTTACCCTGGATATAATGCCTACTGAGATGGCGTATCTTCACAGCTAGGAGGTTGTGAAAGGGAAAGCATATTTCTGGAGTCAGACAAGCTTGAGTGCCAGGAACAAATGACCTTTGTAAGACTTGTGTTCAGGACCACAGAGCTTATCACCAGCACTAAGCCCCAAGAGTTAGCTTAAACTTAAGTGTTTGACATACATCCATCAAGTCTCACCAGCAAAACTGTAAATTCTTGATGGCACCTAGAGAATGTCTTATATCTGCTGTAGTGCTCTACACAGACTTACAAACAGTAGATACTAATAAATAGCTTGGTGTGATCTCTGAGTTCTCTGTCTATTACCTCATGTATTAGGAAGCCAAGGCAACAATGGAGGAGTGTGGATGGAATTTCTGTTCCGCCTTGTTCCACAGCCATTTAGCCCCAAATAAACACACTGATGCTTATATTAATTATAAGCTGTTTGACTGATGGCTCAGGCTTCTTATTGGCTTTCTCTTTCTTAATTATTAACCCATTTCTATTAATCTAAGTATTTTCATGTGGTCTTATCTTACCAGAGAAGGGTCCAAATCTCTCTCTCTCTCTCTCTCTCTCTCTCTCTCTCTCTCTCTCTCTCTCTCTCTCTCTCTCTCTCTCTGTTTCTCTCTGCATCCTCTCCCCAGAATTCTTCTCATCTCGTAATGCCACCTATATACAGAAGGACATCCCCCATCAGAGGAGCGCTCAAAATGGACCAGATACTCAAAAGTACATGGTCTCTTTTAAAAGAAAATAACTCCAAGTACACTCTAGAAGAGGCTTAGTGGCTGAACTTACCTTGGAAATACTTAATTGCCTTGATTCTTAATTTTACCTTCCAGATATTTTATAGTTCATTTTCACAGTCACTCCTGAAGAAAAAGTTTTATGTCATTAACCATATCCAAAAACAAAGTGATCAAAGAAATATAGAGTGTGTTAGTGTTTGTGAGTCTAAAACTTGGAAATGTCAATTCAAGATTATTCCTCAGCAAAATTCGGACTTTTTTCTTTTTATAGTGCTGGGGATAGCAACCAACGCCTCATGTATACTCCATGAGCACTCAACCACTGCATCCCATCTCCAGACCCAAAATTCAGATTTCTGGGTGATCTCCATTCAGGCTCAGATGAAGTTAGTAGATTTATGTCCTCAGAGAATGTCAGGTATAAGAAAGTCTTAGCCAAGGCCCTTGAAATTCTCAAAATAATATTTCTTTAAAAAAAAGCTTTACCCTCTCTGAGGAATGGATGAGGGAGTGGGGTAGAGGGAAGGAGGGATAGAGGGAAGGAGGGATAGCAGGAGGAGGGGAGGAAGGGAGAATTGGGATTGATATGTAAAATGAGAAAAGATTGTTTTTAAATTTTTTAAAAAATGATTAAAAAAGCATCAAGTTGAGGCAGGACCAAGCTGCTCCCCCTGCATCAAGGCTGGGTGAGGCAACTCAACAGGAGGAATAAGTTTCCAAAAGCCAAGAGTAGGCAGGAGTGGATAGGGAATGGTAGGAGAGGATGGAAGGGAAACTGTGATCAGTATGTAAAATAAATGAAATAAATAAATGATAAAAACAAAAAAGGAAACAGAATGAGAATAAAAGTTTACTTGGAATACAAGTAAATAGTCAATCACGCTTTGAAAATGTATTGCATACTGGTACACTAACAGAGTTTTATAAACAAATTCTGAATGACATCACACACAAGCTGATGCGGAAAAACAGTTCAACACTCTCCTTATACTGAACCCAACATTCCTTAAGAGCTGGACAGAATCCTTGTTCTTAGCCCCAATATATTTGATCATGACCTTACTCGGCATACATTCTTTATACATTATCTTACAACTGCCATTTATCAGTCCTTTCTATATAGTAAGCTCTCGAGTGTGGTGCTGTTATTCTCACATGTTCCCTCTGGCATCCATCCCTCTTTACCTCTTCTCTCTACACTTTATTTTAACACTGTTCCCAGATGATAACATTTTGAATTAATTTCTTAAATGTACAAATAAAAGTGATCCTTTTGCTTTACATCAAAAGAACGTACAGCAACCAATTTGGAAAGCTAACATTGCAAATATTCCTAGCTAGCCATGTGACCAGAAGCTTGGCTAAAAATGACTGGCTATAACATCTGCTCTGAGCCAAGGTGCAAACTAACTCTCACCCTGTCATTTAGTCAGATAGGCAAGATTCTGACATAATGATAACTAAGGCCATCCCATCAGCTGATTGAGAGCAAGTCTGAGAAAGGCTTTCTGTTATGAAAGCATGTGAAGCAGGGGTACCAAGAGTGAAATGAGCTATTGTAGGTACTGGGTGTGCTGTGCAGCTGGTAGACTGCTTACCTAGCTTGTAGAAAGTTCCAGCATCGCATAAAACTGGATGTGATGTACATGCACTTGGAGGTGGTTGCAGGAAAATCAGAAGTTCAAGATCATCCTTGGTTACCTAGCAACTATAAGGCCAGCCTGGGATATGTGAGACCTTATTAAAGAATGAAGGATATAAGAAGAGAAGAAGGAAGGGATAGAAGGAGTATGTCAGTGTGTGAAAGGCCCCACCCAAGTATCTGTCCATCCATGGAAGAGCTCAGTGAATGGAAAAGACTTGGAATCTGCTCCACCCCTGTGTGACAACTCCAGCACTTAATGACCTTCCCATTAGGAAAGTGATAAGAAAGTATAATAGGATCATTCTACCATAAGACCTAGGAAAAGAAAGTTGGAAACATTTGCTGGACCAAGGATCCTGAACCATTTAAGGTATGAGGGATGAAGAATTTAAATCAGAGATCTGAATTCCCTGAGCATCCTCCACCTGGGGAGTTTCTGAGAACAACAAAAGTCAGGTTCTAATTTACTTCATTCAGGTTTAAGGGAGTTCTCTTTAATTAATCCAATTAGAAAGCCAAGATTTCTACTTGCCCCCTCATGATTGGCCCCTGCTGATCTGGCCCCAAAGGTGCTCCCTCCTCTATTCTCAGGTTAGTGACAGAGAAGGATGCAATATCTCAGGTCACTAGAAC